GGGCCTGTGAGCCATCCATCGAACGAACGCCCTCTGAATATTCAGCGGCAAGAGGAAGAGAAAGTGCTCTCCGTGTCCAGAGGATAAGGACGGGAAGGTACCAGAGGCAAATCGAATTCGAGGCTTGACGAGAGTGACAGCCCGTTGAACGTACGCTGCAGATGCGATTAAAGTCTGCCAGGACGTCAACGTGATGCTCCTGAAATGCGAAATTCCCTATACCGGCGAACACCACCCGTCGACCCTTGACCCACATCCCTCGCCGGCCGAGATTGAATCGCTCTCGCGAAAATCCATCGGGTCTACCGATCACAAAAAAAAAAAAATCAGATTTTTATTAATTTCTACCGATGCGGCTCATATTCATACAAATGGAATCCATCGATGAGTTTAATCAAAACCTCGCTCGTGTAACTACGACCGCGGATAAACGGGAAGGTCTGTTCGAGAAAATCGATGGAAAACAGATGGCGAGTGGTAGAATAACGAAAGGGTTGAACGGGAAAGATTTATTCGAGGGACGTTTGTACAACGGTTCGCGTTTGCCCTTGAAATTGCTGCCATTCCAGTAAAATCCTTCGATTCGCGTCCGTATCTTGTCTAGCTATAAAACGCTTCTCATTGATCGCCCAGGGAAGACGAAGGAGCGAACCAAAAAGGAAACGGTTTGCTCATCCGACCGCAATCTCCGTTCGGAGGGTACCACGGGATATCTACCGCGTTATCCTTCGAAATCGGAGGATGATGCTCCTTCGGGAGGTAAACGGTAATCGGACACCGCGAGGGACACCCGACACTGGGTCCACGTAATATCGGACCTTGCTTTTAGCTTTTAGTCGGGACAAACAGCGATCTACCCCTTTTTCTTAATTTCATCTTCGACGCTCCAGCAGTTTCATAAACGGGTTTAGCATCGACGAGTCATCGGAACGAAGACATCGCAGACGTACGATCCCGGCGGGGTTGAGAGAAAGTCACGCAGCGTCGGAATTCAGTTACTCAGAGTTCCAGGGACTTGGTCGAGGGTGTCCATCCTCGAGACGACGTTAATGCGCCGCGTCAAAGCAGCCTGCGAGCCTATCTTCGGGTATAACGCTCGGTGTTAAGTGGAGGGCCACTCGAGAGACAATGTACAACTCTGACGTGGACGTGACTGAACACCTTCCACGCGAATCCAACCACCTTTGAGGTCATTACGACGACGCCGTACTCCGTCCTGTTCGCGTACGCGGACAGGGACATTGTCGACCGGGTTAATCAAGGTCCGTTTCACTTACTAAATCCCCAAGTACATACACACGTACATATGTATGTATACGTGTATGTATGTGTAACCGCGTCTCTGCTGTGTTCCTATTCGAATTTCTCCCGTCTGGCAACTTATCCGCATCTTCAACGACCCTCGAACTCTCCTATCCTCGCTATCGGATTAACCATAAACCTCGTTCCAAGTATTATCACCCCTCTCAACTTCGCAGGATGAATCGGTAAGGAATGTATAGGTCTCGACAAGAAGACGATAAATTATATGTTTCCTCGGTAAAGAAGGAAAGGGTGTATTTGGTCGAACGCGGTCAGCTCATTAGGTAAATCCCTAAAAAAGCTCGTTCCGGTACGAAGCGACTCGGCGGCGCGCAAATTTATTCGCAAACTTTCGCAATTTAAATATCCGCGGTGTTTCAATCAAGCGGCACGTGCGCGGCCTCTGTGTAGAAGTACGCGCGACTCTCGAGATTACTTTCCGCCGACTTTCATCGAGCCCGGGTATCAACCTTAGATTTTCGCGTCGCCTTTTACGTCGTTAAATGTTAAACATCAAGCCTCGAACTTCGACACTTACTCTGAGGTCGCGCCCCTCTCAATATCGCCCCGACACCCGATTCCCGAGTCCCTACTATCAGGAAAAGAGACGAAGAACGATTTCCCATGGATGACGATCGCTGCTATCTGTGATTGTTGGGGACGAGTCTTGGTAAAGGGTTGATCCCCGCACGGGTGAATCTTAGGGCGCGGGACCGATAACCGGGAGGGCACTCTGCCGGACGGAAATAATACCCTCCCTGATAAGCCCTGTGTACCGATCACAAGCCGCAACGGTAGCGGCAAAACAGTGTCCGTGCGGCGACGGTACAAACTCCGGACACGGTTAGGACGGAGGGTTTTGCCTTTGCTCGTAGATAAATCGACGGGATTTATATTTCCCACCCCGTAGGATCGTAAACTCCGAGGACTAATAAATTGCCTAAGCGAAAAACGACTAAAGACACGATTAAGTGTCCCACTTCCCTTGCAATTTCTCGCGAAATATCGGACGGACGAATAATAAATGTTGTGTACATTTGAGAAGCAGACAGACAATATCTGTGAAACGATGTTACAAGAGGAATCGGTAGATTCCCGCGGGTTATGGAAGTAACGGTGGGATTTCTGGGGGGGGAGTGGGTTGCGAGGAAGTCGTTTATCGAGTCGACAGGCTGGGTGTACCCATGCGCATTGATATGCAAAATTTGTAGTTTGGAGAAGCTTACGAGAAACTCACAGGCTGCGAGTAAACTTGAAAATCCGATGCGCTCGTCGAGGAGAGAAAAGGAGAGAGATGCGGGCTCGGGTTTAACCGGTTCATGTTTCCGGTTACAGGCTTCCGCGTAGGTATCTCGGACCGGTCTCTGGACACCTTTTAATATCATTCCGATATTTTTCGACCCGCCAAATTTATCCGTCACGCGATAAAGAAGGAAATCTCTCTCTGGTGAACAATTTTAACGGTACGTAGTCACTTGGACGAACGGCCAAATGATTTTTTGAACGTGCAGACGTTGGTGGCAATAGATTAAACGAGTCTGCAGGTGACTAGGAACACCGAACGCGTCGGGCGTAACGTGACGAGAGACAGACGGGCGATCAAAAGCTGGAAAGAAAGTGGAGCTAGATAGAAACACGGAAAAGGCAGTTAATTAGCTCGAGTTAAAAGCTCGGCTTAAATGACCTATTCACCGGTCGTCTGCGAACTCTGTTACCCTCTCCGGAGAAGGAAGCTGCCGACATTTCGCGCGCTCGTTATGCAAAGCACTTTATCCTTTGTCTACAATTTCGATTTATTTCGTTCTCATAACTCGGCTAATCCGATTTCCCGGGCCGGATTCGAAAAAGGCCAAGTTGAAACGTGCGCAAAGATTACTTTGGAATTAGATTCACCTGGAGAGAAAATGCAAACACGGGGTGTGCAACGGTCGCATAGGGGGTGGCCGAAGCCCTTCGACGAATGCGCGCGCGTGTTCGGGAGAAGGGTCGACACTCCACAAAGCGCTTTACGGTCCGTTATACGACCGCAAGCTCGCGATACCATGTTTAGCACGGGTACGCGATCACGAACACGACTAGCCTATTCCAGGTGCATTCAGTGTTCCCAGTGTTTCTCATGCGCGATATATGGACCCATAATTCCATGAATCAACGGCTTTAACTTCGTTTCTTTGAACCCGGTAGCTTCTACAATCTAGTAAGCTCATGATAAGACTAATTGCATACCTTCGTTAAATGCTCTCATTCTCATTTGCTTAATTGAATCTAATCCTTGGATATCAAATGCGTACGAGATTGCACTGATAGAAACACAGTAGGATTAATTCCAGAATCTCTGATATGATTCGTCGCGTGGATCGAACGAAAGTTCGAATCTATCGGATTGAGAACCGAGATTCACGTTTTCCACGTGCATCCGGGTCTCGGTAAGCGCCATGAGCGCATAACTATGCGTCCAGGAAAGAGAGAGAGAGAGAGAGCTAGTACGGGAGAGAGAAGTCGTGTCAGCGGTCGGCGTGCGTTAAGAGCAGCGCGCTAAGTGCGGTCGCGCTATGCCTGACAGTCGGCGGCATTAGGCAAATTGAAATCTTGCCGGCAGAGCCTAGCTCGTGCTCACGCTCTCGCCGTTACTCTCGGCTCAGCTCGGCGTGAATTCGCCGCGATGGTTTCGAACTCCCGGACCGTGAAACACGACGCACCGCGCGAGCGCCACGAACGTCCACGAGAAACGTCTGCTCTGTTGCGGGCCGACCTCTGGTCGCCATAAGTTCCCCGAAACCGGAGCTTAAACCGCCTTTGCCTCCTGTTTTACGAGGTAACTGGCTCTTTGCCCGGGCTCGGGATAATCTTTTCCGGCTCGGCCACCTCTCGAACTAATTTCGTTACCCCGTCCGTGGCCCCCTCGCCTCTGCGTTTCATTATGCAAATATCCTCCCCCTTGAATCAAGGCCAAAACGGCTGTAGGTCAACAGAGCTCAAAAGAAACATATTGTTCTCGTTCGATGTTCCGCGACAGAAAGAAAACTTGTCCCGATCGATTCGCTTCTGATCTATTCTTCTATGCGCATCCTAGCTTCACCTCGACCTACTATTGGAAGCTTGCCACAAGTTGTTAATCTTAGTTGGCGGTTTAATTACACAGGCAAATCTTATCGAAGTGGCGGAGTTAATTAGATAATTAAAACTTGAAGGGTAAACTACTTTGCCCGAACGTACCTACACGTAGTTACGTCCGTGCATTCGCGGGTAAGATGCGAGAGATGAAGGAGCGAGATTGACGGCACCACCGCAAATCGAGCCTTCTTCCACGTTCCGCCCAACAAGAACTTTCCACTGGCTGGGACGTAGATGAGACCCTCTCCCTCTCTCTCTCCCTCTCTCTCTCTCTCTCCTGTAATGGAGGTATCCTTAACGAGAAATTCCTCAGCCTGTCTTTTTAACTCGCAAATTTCTTCTTCCCTCTCTTCAATTCTCAAGAATTATTACCGAAGGTTTCCTTATCATTCACTGCGGATGTCCTATTATCCCTCGAAAAAGGTTGTCTCGAACTTCTATACTAAATCCGCATCACGTTGGTCGGTCAGCGGGTCGTGATAGTACGGTCAATCCTGGATTTCATAGACTCATTTAATTTAATATAAATTATGTAATTTCTGTGTCGTTCCCGTAATTAATGTTCCACTGAATTTCTGTTTCAGACACAAACGGAAAGTGCAGAACCTGCTGCCGTGCAAGAGCGCCGCGGGCGCAGCAGCCGCAGCCGCGGCGGCGGCGACCGGCGGTCGTAATCGGGTTCTCGCCGACGGGCAATCGGGAACCGGGGCCGGAACAGGGAACGCGGTGCTCTACGAGGACCTGCCGGAAGCGGTGACGCATTCGCAGCTGCACCACAGACAGAATCACCTGCCCAGCCACCACCCGACCCAGGCGCCGACGATCGAGGTACGAAATCATCCCGATCAGCGAGAACAACGGCTGCGACGCAACCCCGCGCCACATCATCTCGACTATCTCGACTACCGGGACCCGAGGGCGATCCTCCGCGTCCAGGACAAACCCTCGCGGGCCGTCTTGGGCGGATATCGCACGCCGCGTGCCCTGCTCGCCAAGTCCCAGGGCGTCCCGCTCTCGATTGCCACGCACTCGCCCTCCCCGCGGTGCCAGACAACCCCGACCGGGAGTAACGTCCTCCATAACAGCCACTTGATGCTGGCTAGCCAGAACGCGTTGATCACCAGCCAACAATCCTTGACGTCCCCCCGCGACCCGGAAGAAACAGATAAATACTTGATCGATAATTCTGTGTCTTCTCGGCCCGTTGATACCCGGCTACCCATCACGCCCACCCATCGGCCCAGGCTCCAAACGCCTGCTCCCAATCAAACTCGATCCGTTCAGAGAGTCGCCTCCCGGGAGGAATTGTCGAACCTCGGTAGACGACCGTCGGTCGATTCCGAGGGTTACTCGTATATCAACTTCAAGGAGGATCTGGAGTCCACGAGGTACGATTCGATTAATCAGGAAAGAAGCAGAGTGTCCAAGTTGTTTCGGTCGTCGGTCAGGTCTAGCTCAGTAGATTCCGACGGTTACTCGTACATCGTGGACACCGGGTCCAGAAGGGCGCCGGGCACCGCGAGGAGGATCGTGGCCGAGGGCACCGAGGAGGAGGTATGTCCGCTTTGCACGATGCAGCAGATACACAGCCTCCTCAGCAAGCCCGAGGATATTTATCTAAACGTCAAAACGTGACACTTGCCGTTCGCGGGAGATATTTTCTTGTAGAGACTGCCCTGTTTCCCCGATTTTTCATATTTGGGCACAGGGGACTTCGCATATCCCGTGATACAAGGCTCGCGGGGTTACCGTCCTCGTATTGAATTTCGTTTCATCGGCGATGTTAGATTATAATCAGATCGACAGAGACATTTTTTTATAATGTGTTTTTGGGTGAAATTCGTCGGTAACCCCGTTCGACGGGCCTCGCGCGTTCAACTCCATTCGTAGTTCCATCGTTAGTCTAGTGTCTTTTTCAGCGAAACTGGAGGAGTGACTCCCCGCTCTTTCATCTGACGTTTAATTTCTTATTAGATCGTTGCATTCCACGAGGCGATTTCCATTGTCGTTTGGCTATCATCGAAGACACTAGCGGACTAGTCAGTATTCGTTTCGTTGCCGTGCTTGCACAGTTGCACAGGCGACCGTGCCTTATTATTTAGTTACAATTATGCGAGCACGGTGCTCGAACGCACTCTATGGTTGTAAATAGGTTAGTTAGTTTCGTGCAGCTCGATTGTAAATAACATACGGAAAGCGAGGCATAAAGAATCGTATAATTGATAATTGCAATCGAGAAATTCAGATAGCTGTGCACCGCCCGAGTGAACAATTATCAGACACTTGCGTTTCCGCGTTTGTATAAACGCTCAGATAAATCACGATTAATTATTGCTGATTAATTATTATTATTTATTATCGTCCCGGTAATTGCGTCTTGTAAATAAATTCGGGATTCGAGAAAGTAGAAAGGAAATGTAGAGCGAGTGCGCGAGAGAGAGAGAGGGAGAGACCGAGCAAACGGAGAAAGTCCTGTACATACATATATATACATATATACATATATATATATTGGAGTACTGAGAGAGAAAGAAAGAGAGAGAGAG